ATAGTGATTTTTCCTTTCTCATTTCTGATTCTCTTTATGTGTGTAGGTTCTCTTTTTTTCTTGATACTTCATGCAACTAATAGGGATAAAAAAGCAGGAGTTGCGGTATTTGTATCAGTCTTGCTAGGAGTCTATCTATTTTGTTTATATTATTGAAGAACCAGCTCTTGCTTTCATTGATTCTTTCTATTGTTTTATTCTTCTCAATTTTATTTATTTCTGCTCTGATCTTTATTATGTCCCTTCTTCTACTGACTTTAGGCCTCATTTGTTGTTTTTCTAGTTTCGATAATTGTGAATTCTGTTTCTAGTTTCATTAATAGTGACTTTAAACTCTTCATATGGGATTGTTCTTTCCTAAGGTAGGCCTGTATTGCAATATACCTCCCTCTTAGCACCACCTTCGCTGTGTCCCACAGATTTTTGTGGTGTTGAATTATTGTTGTCATTTGTCTCCATATATTGCTTGATTTCTGTTTTTGGTCATTAATCCATTGGTTATTTAGGGGCATGTTTTGAAGCCTCCATGTGCTTGTGGGATTTTTCATTTTCTTTACATAATTTATTTCTAGTTTCATACCTTTGTGGTCTGAGAAACAGGTTGGTTCAATTTCATTCATTTTGAATTTACCAAGGCTCTTTTTGTGGCCTACTATGTGATCTATTCTTGAAAGTGTTCCATGTGCACTTGAGAAGAATGTATATCCTGCTGCTTTTGGGTGTAGAGTTCTGTAGATGTCCGTTAGGTCCATCTGGTCTAATGTGTTGTTCCATGCCTCTGCCTCCTTACTTATTTTCTGTCTGGTAAATCTGTCCTTTGGAGTTAGTGGAGTGTTGAAGTCTCCTAGCATGAATGCTTTGCATTCTATTCCCTTTTTAATTCTATTAGTATTTGTTTCAAATATGTAGGTGCTCTGTGTTGGTGCATAGATATTCGTAATGGTTACGTCTTGTTGGATTGACCCCTTTATCATTATGTAATGTCCTTTGTCTCTTGTGACTTTCTTTGAAGTGTATTTTGTCTGATACAAATACTGCAACTGGTGCTTCTTTCTCCCTATTAGTTGCATTAGTTTTCATCCCTTCAATGAGTCTTTTGTAGGCAGCATATAGTTGGATCTTCTTTTTTAATACATTCAGTGACTCTGTATCTTTGGATTGGTGCATCCAGACCATTTACATTTAGGGTAATTATCGATAGGTATGTACTTATTGACATTGCAGGCTTTAGATTCATGGTTAGCAAAGATTCAAGGTTAACTTCCTTGCTATCTAAGAGTCTAACTTAATTCACTTAGTATGCTATTACAAACACAATCTAAAGGTTCTTTTTTCCTCCTCCTTTTTCTTCCTCTTCCAGTCTTTATACATTAGGTACCATATTCTGTACTCTTTGTCTATCCCTTGGCTGACTTTGGGGTGGTTGATTTAATTTTGCATTTGCTTAGTAGTTAACTTCTGCTTTCTATACTGTGGTTTTATTACCTCTGGAGACAGCTATTAAACCTTAGGAACACTTCCATCTAGAGCAGTCCCTCCAATATACACTGTTCAGATGGTTCATGAGAGCTAAATTCTCTTAGCTTTTGCTGATCTGTAAATTGTTTAATCCCTCCTTCAAATTTAAGTGATAATCTTGCCAGATAAAGTATTCTTGGTTTGAGGCCCTTCTGCTTCATTGCATTAAATATATCATGCCGCTCCCTTCTGGCCTGTAAGGTTTCTGCTGAGCAGTCTGATGATAGCCTGATGGGCTTTTCTTTGTATGTGATCTTATTTCTCTCTCTGGCTGCTTTTAATAGTCTGACCTTATCCTTGATCTTTGCCATTTTAATTATTGTATGTCTTAGTGTTGTCCTCCTTGGGTCCCTTGTGTTGGGAGATCTGTGCACCTCCATGGCCTGAGAGACTATCTCCGTCCCCAGATTCGGGAAGTTTTCAGCAATTACTTCCTCAAAGACTCTTTCTATCCCTTTTTCTCTTCTTCTTCTGGTAGTCCTATAATGCGAATATTGTTCCGTTTGGATTGGTCACACAGTTCTCTCAGTATTCTTTCATTCTCAGAGATCCTTTTTTCTCTGTGCCTCAGCTTCTTTGTATTCCTCTTCTCTAATTTCTATTTCATTTATAATCTCCTCCACCATATCTAATCTGCTTTTGAAATCTTCCATTGTATGTTTCACTTCTGATACTGTGTTCTGTAATGATTGGATCTCCGAGCAGAATTCATTCCTGAGTTCTTGAATATTTTTCTGTACCTCTGTGAGCATGTTTATGATTTTTATTTCGAAATCTGTTTCAGGAAGATTCATGAGATCAGTTTCACTTGACTCTTTCTCTGGTGTATGTATGATTTTGCTTTGAACCAGGTTCCTCTGACGTTTCATATTTGTATGTGGTGCCCTCTAGTGCCCAGAAGCTCTACTCACTGGAGCTGCTCAGCCCCTGGAGCAATGTTGGGGGTCTCAGGGGAGCGGTGTTCCTGCCTGGGGGAAGGAAAGAGCTGTTTTCTCCTTCCCAGCTGCTATGCCTGTCTGCACTGCCAGAACCAGCGAGCCAAGCACACAGGTATAAGCCTCTGTACTTTACATTTGTAGCTGCTGTAGGCAGGGCTTTCCTCTGGCTGGCCGATGCCAGGGCAGAGTTTGCTGGTTGTGAGTCAGGTGCGGGCTGGCTGGGAGGAAGACGCAGCAAGCTGCATATCATGGAGGGTGGCCTTGGAGCATTTTAGCTAGCCAGGGGGCTGGAGCAACTGAAGATCGTGAAAGTTCCCAACCTGCTTGGCAGAGTGCACCTGGACAATTTTTTCTACCTGTCCTTTGTCCTTAGCAGTAAGCTCTATGCAATACTTGCCCCTTTAGCAGTACTCTTACTGTTAGAAAGTCTCTCAGACTGCCCTCCTTTCTTTTGTTCCAGAGCAGCTGAATATGGATCCCTGTTTTCCAGAAGTGGCTGGAATCTCAGTCTCTCCTTGTATTCTGCCTGTCTTAGCTTTCCAACACCTGTAATCACCAGAGCACCATGCAATGTAGGTTTGTGCTCCCAGGGCAAATCTCCAGAGCTAGTTGTTCAGCAGTCCCAGGCCTCCACTCCCTTACTGCTCCATTTCCCTTCCTTCTGCCAGTGCAGTGGGGTGGATGAAGGGCTTGAGTCTCGCCGAGTCATGGCTTTGGTACGTAATTACCCTGTTGCATGATGTCTATTGTTTTCTCCAGGTGCAGCCTTCTTTCCTGTTGCTCTTTCAAGATTGGTTGTATTAATTATATTTTTGTATTATATATGGTTTTAGGAGGAGGCCTCTCACCTCTCATGCCACCAACTTTAATCCCCTCCTATCCACATCCATATCAACACTTCTTAAGAGCCAAAAGATCGAAACAAGTGTTCATCAGTGGATGAATGGATAAAAGTGGTATATCCTTACAGTGGAATACTATTCAGTCATAAAAGGCAATGAAGTACAGACTTATGGTACAGGATTTTGAGGATAAGCCTCAAAAGCATTATGCTAAGTGAAAGAAACTAGACATTAAAGGTCACATTGGATGTTTCCACTTATAGGAAACACCCAGAATAGATGACTCTATAAAGACAGATTGGTGGTTGCCTGGGGCTGGAAGAACAGGAAAACAGGGATCGATTGTTTAATGGGTACAGAGTTTTATTTTGGGGTGATGAAAATGCTTTGGAACCAAACAGAGGTGGTGGTTGCACACATTATGAAAAACTAAATGCCACTGGGTTGCTTTCTTTAAAATAGTTAATTTTATGTGAACTTCAATAAAAAAGATGGTTGATTGGTTTTGTGTACTTTTCTGCAAGTAAGTTATACTTAAGTTTGGAATACTTTTGTGTAGTGGAAAGAGCATGAGCTTTACCAAACATTGTACTGACTTTTAAACATACCTAATCTCATTATTTATTTTAAGCAGAGCCATTGTTGGGTATGGCACATAGTAGGACCCAAATAAATATTAATCCCCTTACACAACTTGAAATTTTGTGCTGTATGAAATTCCACGTCTTTGAGGTCCACAGAATTCCTTATAGTGCTCACTGTCTCTCTAGTCCCATTTGGCACTCAACATGCACTCCCTTCTCATGACTGGTACCATTTAAGTGCCTCAGTTTAAACTTATAGGGAATAGAGATCTTTTCTTAAACTTCCAATGAATCCCACACAGCTTGTGTGTGTAATCAGGGTCCTAGCTGGAAACCGTTGCACAAATTAGGATAATTTGGGGACAGTGTAATGTAAAAATTACAAAGAGGGAAGAGTGTAAAGAAGCCACAAAGAATATTGCAGTCCCCCAGTACCCACGGCTGTTGTGACCACCTCTACACCTGAGAGGTTGAGAGGAGGGAGCTGTTGTATAGAGAGGATTCCCTCTGTGAGAGCCGTGATTTTGATGTAGTGCATTCAGGACAACTTCCTGAAGCAGGAATCAGGATCTGGAGGGAGGACATCAGATATATCTGATCTGGTACAGCGTACAACAGCTTTGATTCAGAGGAGGGTGGGAGTACTAAGCCTCTGGGAGGGAGGAGAAGGAATGTAGAGCCTACGGGGTGCTGCTTGGCAATTTTCTCATCCCTGAGACCACAGGACTAGTAGCTCCTCAGTTCTCATTTTGGGAATATTCTTTGTCTCTTTGAGCTTATTTTTCTTCCATCTGTAAGTTAAGGGAAATTAGTTTAATGATGTTTAAGGTCCTTACCACGGTCATAGCTACTGTGACAAGGTCCTTAGATCCATGATCTTTAATTCTGATAGAGAAAACCTTATTTTCACCTTGCTTTTTAAAATATATTAGTCTCTAGGTGTTACAAACAGATCTGTACGAAAAATATGTTCAGACAAAAGGTCTTAATGCTTCCTAACTAGTAAGTGAAGTCAAACTAATGAGGTTGCAGAGTAAAGTCATAGGTAGTTAATTACCACAGGCTTGGATAAAATTAACCTAGTACAAAGTTTACAACTGTAATAAAGTTATCACAAATTTTTAACATACTGCCTTTATTTTATATTGGAAAAACAAGAAGCAACTCAACCCATTCGAGTGGCCGCACAGCCGCTGTCCTTTTCACCTCTCACTTGGATTCTAACATTTCCCCCTGTGACGCGGAGGTAGCTGGCTGGGGAAGGCACCAGATGCCAGCCCTGCTGCGGGTTGAGAGACAGAGGCGCGCGGCCACCCGGAAGCCCGGGTGGCGGCGGGCACAGGAGCCCAGCCCTCCTGGACTGGAGTCCGGCCATGGGCGGGGCAAGAGGCGGGGCCTGCGGCCGCGGGAATCCCAAACCCTCCCCTTTCTCCACCCTTTGCTTGTCGCCATGGCCCCCGCTCTGCTCCTGGTCTCTGCTGCCCTCGCCTCTTTCATCCTGGCCTTTGGCACCGGGGTGGAGTTCGTGCGCTTTACTTCCCTTCGGCCACTTCTTGGAGGGATCCCGGAGTCTGCTGGTCCGGGTGAGCGGGAGGGATGTAGGATGAGCTGTGGGGTAGGGAGGTGGAGCCCGAGTGGACAGAGCGAGGCGGGGCCTGGGGACAAATGACAGCGGGAGTACGGGAGTGGGAACGAGAACCTTGAAAGCCGCCGAGAAGCTGCAGAGAGACTACAGGGCTAAATTAGGAACTCAGGGGTTAGCGGTTTGGAAAGGTGAGGGTGTGAGGACGGAGTAGGAGACTAAGAGCGATAAAACAGAGTATTCGAAGGAAAGTGCTTTGTGGAGAAGACCGGAGGAGAGTTCAAAAGAGGGAGCAAATTTAGCCAACCGAAATAAAAGAGGGACAATCCAACTGGTGGCCTCTCCATCCATGTCTTTTGTGACTACCCAACATGAATCCTCTTCCCCAGCTCTGGAGGAGGCCTGGGGAAAAGGGAAGAAACAGGGAATAGAAAAGTGATGTGGGCAAATCCTAGAGAGGAAGCATTAAGGCTATTGAAAGCATTAAGGGCGTCCTGGGGCCCCAGGAGATGAGGGTAAGTGAAAGTTTCCTACCATCTTCTTTATCTTTTGTCCCTCTCTTCCACTCCCCCTAGATGCCCACCAGGGATGGCTGGCTGCCCTACAGGACCAAAGTATCCTTGTTCCCCTGGCTTGGGATCTGGGGCTCCTGCTATTATTTGTAGGGCAGCACAGCCTCATGGCAACTGAGACGGTGAAGGCATGGATGTCCCGGTACTTTGGGGTCCTTCAGAGGTCACTGTATGTGGCATGTACTGCCCTGACCTTGCAGGTATGAGGCCTTGGCAGCTGAGTTCCCAAGGGAAACAGTCTGTGGGAAGGATGCCTTAGATTGGAAGGGCAAAGATCTTAGGCATCTTGGGAAAAAAGTGGGTTTAGGGTAACTGAGGATTTTCAGGACTTGAAGTTCAGCTTCCATTCTTTTACAGCACATACCCTACTTTTTATCAAGAAGGGCATACGTTCCGCAGGCATGATATATGAAGTGTGCATTGTTACCTTTGCAACTTTGTTCATGTTGTCCTGCTTGAGATCCCCTCGTTTGCTCTTCAGTCCTACCCTTTCCTCAGAACCACTTGCCTAGGTCTCACAAAAGGATTCCCAATTCACACTCATCAGTCTTTCTCAGTGGGTGCTTGGCATAGGCCACTTTGTGTACCTAGGTGGCCACCCCCTTCTGTTCTGTAAGTCTTCAGGGTAGACACAGGTCATCCTTACATCCTTGGGCCCCCACCCAGCACCCTCCACATGGTGAATATTTAACGATGCTTGTCGTAGAGGTAGGAAGAGCCACAGGCCAGCCTGGCGTCAGCAGCCTCAGGGTCTAGGTCTCCCAAGGGTGGGCCAGGATACCCAGCCCCTCATCCTTCCCCAGCTGGTGATGCGGTCCTGGGAGCCCATATCCAGAGGCCCTGTATTGTGGGCAGCTCAGGCAGAGCCATGGGCCACCTGGGTGCCACTCCTCTGCTTTGTGCTCCATGTCATTTCCTGGCTCCTCATCTTCAGCATTCTTCTCGTCTTTGACTACGCCGAGCTCATGGGCCTTAAACAGGTGAGTCCCAGATCCTCACCTGATGCTTTCCAGAACACTGCTTTCCCTTCCATGGATTTCCCTCCACCTCCCCCCATGGTCTTCACCTTCCTTGCTTTTGACTCCCTTACTTCCCTCCCTCTCTCGTAAGACAGTCTTCCTTCAGCCCTTCCTCAAAGGCTAGAAACCATGGGCTTCCTGGCCTCTGGAGAAGGACCAGAGATGAAGGTCAGGAGCCAAATCTCACAGGGTGGTTCTTGGGCCTGAGTTACAGAAGAAAGTTTCCTGGAAGAGAGGAAAAGGGTGGCTAAATTGTGAAAAGGGACTNTACCTTTGTGGTCTGAGAAACAGGTTGGTTCAATTTCATTCATTTTGAATTTACCAAGGCTCTTTTTGTGGCCTACTATGTGATCTATTCTTGAAAGTGTTCCATGTGCACTTGAGAAGAATGTATATCCTGCTGCTTTTGGGTGTAGAGTTCTGTAGATGTCCGTTAGGTCCATCTGGTCTAATGTGTTGTTCCATGCCTCTGCCTCCTTACTTATTTTCTGTCTGGTAAATCTGTCCTTTGGAGTTAGTGGAGTGTTGAAGTCTCCTAGCATGAATGCTTTGCATTCTATTCCCTTTTTAATTCTATTAGTATTTGTTTCAAATATGTAGGTGCTCTGTGTTGGTGCATAGATATTCGTAATGGTTACGTCTTGTTGGATTGACCCCTTTATCATTATGTAATGTCCTTTGTCTCTTGTGACTTTCTTTGAAGTGTATTTTGTCTGATACAAATACTGCAACTGGTGCTTCTTTCTCCCTATTAGTTGCATTAGTTTTCATCCCTTCAATGAGTCTTTTGTAGGCAGCATATAGTTGGATCTTCTTTTTTAATACATTCAGTGACTCTGTATCTTTGGATTGGTGCATCCAGACCATTTACATTTAGGGTAATTATCGATAGGTATGTACTTATTGACATTGCAGGCTTTAGATTCATGGTTAGCAAAGATTCAAGGTTAACTTCCTTGCTATCTAAGAGTCTAACTTAATTCACTTAGTATGCTATTACAAACACAATCTAAAGGTTCTTTTTTCCTCCTCCTTTTTCTTCCTCTTCCAGTCTTTATACATTAGGTACCATATTCTGTACTCTTTGTCTATCCCTTGGCTGACTTTGGGGTGGTTGATTTAATTTTGCATTTGCTTAGTAGTTAACTTCTGCTTTCTATACTGTGGTTTTATTACCTCTGGAGACAGCTATTAAACCTTAGGAACACTTCCATCTAGAGCAGTCCCTCCAATATACACTGTTCAGATGGTTCATGAGAGCTAAATTCTCTTAGCTTTTGCTGATCTGTAAATTGTTTAATCCCTCCTTCAAATTTAAGTGATAATCTTGCCAGATAAAGTATTCTTGGTTTGAGGCCCTTCTGCTTCATTGCATTAAATATATCATGCCGCTCCCTTCTGGCCTGTAAGGTTTCTGCTGAGCAGTCTGATGATAGCCTGATGGGCTTTTCTTTGTATGTGATCTTATTTCTCTCTCTGGCTGCTTTTAATAGTCTGACCTTATCCTTGATCTTTGCCATTTTAATTATTGTATGTCTTAGTGTTGTCCTCCTTGGGTCCCTTGTGTTGGGAGATCTGTGCACCTCCATGGCCTGAGAGACTATCTCCGTCCCCAGATTCGGGAAGTTTTCAGCAATTACTTCCTCAAAGACTCTTTCTATCCCTTTTTCTCTTCTTCTTCTGGTAGTCCTATAATGCGAATATTGTTCCGTTTGGATTGGTCACACAGTTCTCTCAGTATTCTTTCATTCTCAGAGATCCTTTTTTCTCTGTGCCTCAGCTTCTTTGTATTCCTCTTCTCTAATTTCTATTTCATTTATAATCTCCTCCACCATATCTAATCTGCTTTTGAAATCTTCCATTGTATGTTTCACTTCTGATACTGTGTTCTGTAATGATTGGATCTCCGAGCAGAATTCATTCCTGAGTTCTTGAATATTTTTCTGTACCTCTGTGAGCATGTTTATGATTTTTATTTCGAAATCTGTTTCAGGAAGATTCATGAGATCAGTTTCACTTGACTCTTTCTCTGGTGTATGTATGATTTTGCTTTGAACCAGGTTCCTCTGACGTTTCATATTTGTATGTGGTGCCCTCTAGTGCCCAGAAGCTCTACTCACTGGAGCTGCTCAGCCCCTGGAGCAATGTTGGGGGTCTCAGGGGAGCGGTGTTCCTGCCTGGGGGAAGGAAAGAGCTGTTTTCTCCTTCCCAGCTGCTATGCCTGTCTGCACTGCCAGAACCAGCGAGCCAAGCACACAGGTATAAGCCTCTGTACTTTACATTTGTAGCTGCTGTAGGCAGGGCTTTCCTCTGGCTGGCCGATGCCAGGGCAGAGTTTGCTGGTTGTGAGTCAGGTGCGGGCTGGCTGGGAGGAAGACGCAGCAAGCTGCATATCATGGAGGGTGGCCTTGGAGCATTTTAGCTAGCCAGGGGGCTGGAGCAACTGAAGATCGTGAAAGTTCCCAACCTGCTTGGCAGAGTGCACCTGGACAATTTTTTCTACCTGTCCTTTGTCCTTAGCAGTAAGCTCTATGCAATACTTGCCCCTTTAGCAGTACTCTTACTGTTAGAAAGTCTCTCAGACTGCCCTCCTTTCTTTTGTTCCAGAGCAGCTGAATATGGATCCCTGTTTTCCAGAAGTGGCTGGAATCTCAGTCTCTCCTTGTATTCTGCCTGTCTTAGCTTTCCAACACCTGTAATCACCAGAGCACCATGCAATGTAGGTTTGTGCTCCCAGGGCAAATCTCCAGAGCTAGTTGTTCAGCAGTCCCAGGCCTCCACTCCCTTACTGCTCCATTTCCCTTCCTTCTGCCAGTGCAGTGGGGTGGATGAAGGGCTTGAGTCTCGCCGAGTCATGGCTTTGGTACGTAATTACCCTGTTGCATGATGTCTATTGTTTTCTCCAGGTGCAGCCTTCTTTCCTGTTGCTCTTTCAAGATTGGTTGTATTAATTATATTTTTGTATTATATATGGTTTTAGGAGGAGGCCTCTCACCTCTCATGCCACCAACTTTAATCCCCTCCTATCCACATCCATATCAACACTTCTTAAGAGCCAAAAGATCGAAACAAGTGTTCATCAGTGGATGAATGGATAAAAGTGGTATATCCTTACAGTGGAATACTATTCAGTCATAAAAGGCAATGAAGTACAGACTTATGGTACAGGATTTTGAGGATAAGCCTCAAAAGCATTATGCTAAGTGAAAGAAACTAGACATTAAAGGTCACATTGGATGTTTCCACTTATAGGAAACACCCAGAATAGATGACTCTATAAAGACAGATTGGTGGTTGCCTGGGGCTGGAAGAACAGGAAAACAGGGATCGATTGTTTAATGGGTACAGAGTTTTATTTTGGGGTGATGAAAATGCTTTGGAACCAAACAGAGGTGGTGGTTGCACACATTATGAAAAACTAAATGCCACTGGGTTGCTTTCTTTAAAATAGTTAATTTTATGTGAACTTCAATAAAAAAGATGGTTGATTGGTTTTGTGTACTTTTCTGCAAGTAAGTTATACTTAAGTTTGGAATACTTTTGTGTAGTGGAAAGAGCATGAGCTTTACCAAACATTGTACTGACTTTTAAACATACCTAATCTCATTATTTATTTTAAGCAGAGCCATTGTTGGGTATGGCACATAGTAGGACCCAAATAAATATTAATCCCCTTACACAACTTGAAATTTTGTGCTGTATGAAATTCCACGTCTTTGAGGTCCACAGAATTCCTTATAGTGCTCACTGTCTCTCTAGTCCCATTTGGCACTCAACATGCACTCCCTTCTCATGACTGGTACCATTTAAGTGCCTCAGTTTAAACTTATAGGGAATAGAGATCTTTTCTTAAACTTCCAATGAATCCCACACAGCTTGTGTGTGTAATCAGGGTCCTAGCTGGAAACCGTTGCACAAATTAGGATAATTTGGGGACAGTGTAATGTAAAAATTACAAAGAGGGAAGAGTGTAAAGAAGCCACAAAGAATATTGCAGTCCCCCAGTACCCACGGCTGTTGTGACCACCTCTACACCTGAGAGGTTGAGAGGAGGGAGCTGTTGTATAGAGAGGATTCCCTCTGTGAGAGCCGTGATTTTGATGTAGTGCATTCAGGACAACTTCCTGAAGCAGGAATCAGGATCTGGAGGGAGGACATCAGATATATCTGATCTGGTACAGCGTACAACAGCTTTGATTCAGAGGAGGGTGGGAGTACTAAGCCTCTGGGAGGGAGGAGAAGGAATGTAGAGCCTACGGGGTGCTGCTTGGCAATTTTCTCATCCCTGAGACCACAGGACTAGTAGCTCCTCAGTTCTCATTTTGGGAATATTCTTTGTCTCTTTGAGCTTATTTTTCTTCCATCTGTAAGTTAAGGGAAATTAGTTTAATGATGTTTAAGGTCCTTACCACGGTCATAGCTACTGTGACAAGGTCCTTAGATCCATGATCTTTAATTCTGATAGAGAAAACCTTATTTTCACCTTGCTTTTTAAAATATATTAGTCTCTAGGTGTTACAAACAGATCTGTACGAAAAATATGTTCAGACAAAAGGTCTTAATGCTTCCTAACTAGTAAGTGAAGTCAAACTAATGAGGTTGCAGAGTAAAGTCATAGGTAGTTAATTACCACAGGCTTGGATAAAATTAACCTAGTACAAAGTTTACAACTGTAATAAAGTTATCACAAATTTTTAACATACTGCCTTTATTTTATATTGGAAAAACAAGAAGCAACTCAACCCATTCGAGTGGCCGCACAGCCGCTGTCCTTTTCACCTCTCACTTGGATTCTAACATTTCCCCCTGTGACGCGGAGGTAGCTGGCTGGGGAAGGCACCAGATGCCAGCCCTGCTGCGGGTTGAGAGACAGAGGCGCGCGGCCACCCGGAAGCCCGGGTGGCGGCGGGCACAGGAGCCCAGCCCTCCTGGACTGGAGTCCGGCCATGGGCGGGGCAAGAGGCGGGGCCTGCGGCCGCGGGAATCCCAAACCCTCCCCTTTCTCCACCCTTTGCTTGTCGCCATGGCCCCCGCTCTGCTCCTGGTCTCTGCTGCCCTCGCCTCTTTCATCCTGGCCTTTGGCACCGGGGTGGAGTTCGTGCGCTTTACTTCCCTTCGGCCACTTCTTGGAGGGATCCCGGAGTCTGCTGGTCCGGGTGAGCGGGAGGGATGTAGGATGAGCTGTGGGGTAGGGAGGTGGAGCCCGAGTGGACAGAGCGAGGCGGGGCCTGGGGACAAATGACAGCGGGAGTACGGGAGTGGGAACGAGAACCTTGAAAGCCGCCGAGAAGCTGCAGAGAGACTACAGGGCTAAATTAGGAACTCAGGGGTTAGCGGTTTGGAAAGGTGAGGGTGTGAGGACGGAGTAGGAGACTAAGAGCGATAAAACAGAGTATTCGAAGGAAAGTGCTTTGTGGAGAAGACCGGAGGAGAGTTCAAAAGAGGGAGCAAATTTAGCCAACCGAAATAAAAGAGGGACAATCCAACTGGTGGCCTCTCCATCCATGTCTTTTGTGACTACCCAACATGAATCCTCTTCCCCAGCTCTGGAGGAGGCCTGGGGAAAAGGGAAGAAACAGGGAATAGAAAAGTGATGTGGGCAAATCCTAGAGAGGAAGCATTAAGGCTATTGAAAGCATTAAGGGCGTCCTGGGGCCCCAGGAGATGAGGGTAAGTGAAAGTTTCCTACCATCTTCTTTATCTTTTGTCCCTCTCTTCCACTCCCCCTAGATGCCCACCAGGGATGGCTGGCTGCCCTACAGGACCAAAGTATCCTTGTTCCCCTGGCTTGGGATCTGGGGCTCCTGCTATTATTTGTAGGGCAGCACAGCCTCATGGCAACTGAGACGGTGAAGGCATGGATGTCCCGGTACTTTGGGGTCCTTCAGAGGTCACTGTATGTGGCATGTACTGCCCTGACCTTGCAGGTATGAGGCCTTGGCAGCTGAGTTCCCAAGGGAAACAGTCTGTGGGAAGGATGCCTTAGATTGGAAGGGCAAAGATCTTAGGCATCTTGGGAAAAAAGTGGGTTTAGGGTAACTGAGGATTTTCAGGACTTGAAGTTCAGCTTCCATTCTTTTACAGCACATACCCTACTTTTTATCAAGAAGGGCATACGTTCCGCAGGCATGATATATGAAGTGTGCATTGTTACCTTTGCAACTTTGTTCATGTTGTCCTGCTTGAGATCCCCTCGTTTGCTCTTCAGTCCTACCCTTTCCTCAGAACCACTTGCCTAGGTCTCACAAAAGGATTCCCAATTCACACTCATCAGTCTTTCTCAGTGGGTGCTTGGCATAGGCCACTTTGTGTACCTAGGTGGCCACCCCCTTCTGTTCTGTAAGTCTTCAGGGTAGACACAGGTCATCCTTACATCCTTGGGCCCCCACCCAGCACCCTCCACATGGTGAATATTTAACGATGCTTGTCGTAGAGGTAGGAAGAGCCACAGGCCAGCCTGGCGTCAGCAGCCTCAGGGTCTAGGTCTCCCAAGGGTGGGCCAGGATACCCAGCCCCTCATCCTTCCCCAGCTGGTGATGCGGTCCTGGGAGCCCATATCCAGAGGCCCTGTATTGTGGGCAGCTCAGGCAGAGCCATGGGCCACCTGGGTGCCACTCCTCTGCTTTGTGCTCCATGTCATTTCCTGGCTCCTCATCTTCAGCATTCTTCTCGTCTTTGACTACGCCGAGCTCATGGGCCTTAAACAGGTGAGTCCCAGATCCTCACCTGATGCTTTCCAGAACACTGCTTTCCCTTCCATGGATTTCCCTCCACCTCCCCCCATGGTCTTCACCTTCCTTGCTTTTGACTCCCTTACTTCCCTCCCTCTCTCGTAAGACAGTCTTCCTTCAGCCCTTCCTCAAAGGCTAGAAACCATGGGCTTCCTGGCCTCTGGAGAAGGACCAGAGATGAAGGTCAGGAGCCAAATCTCACAGGGTGGTTCTTGGGCCTGAGTTACAGAAGAAAGTTTCCTGGAAGAGAGGAAAAGGGTGGCTAAATTGTGAAAAGGGACTGACTCCACTGCTAGGCTGTTCTCCCTTCTAGGTGTACTATCATGTGCTGGGGCTGGGCGAGCCTCTGGCCCTGAAGTCTCCTCGGGCTCTGAGACTCTTCTCTCACCTGCGCCACCCAGTGTGTGTGGAGCTGCTGACAGTGCTATGGGTGGTGCCTACCCTAGGCACTGACCGCCTCCTCCTTGCTCTCCTCCTTACCCTCTACCTGGGCTTGGCTCATGGGCTTGACCAGCAAGACCTCCGCTACCTCCGGGCCCAGCTGCAAAGAAAACTCCGTCTGCTTTCTCGGCCCCAGGATTGGGAGGCAGAGTGAGGAGCAAACCCTGGTTCCAAGCCCCATACTTCTCCCTCAACATCCCAGTCAGTTAACTTCCAGACCCTGGCAGCTTCAGACCAGAGGCCCAATTCTACAGCTGAAGGGGCTATCCCTTCCCCTGATTGAGCCACCACTTCCAGGGTCCAGCTCCACATCCTACATTCTGAGTTTCAGCTACTGGACTCCAAGGTCTATTTCTCACCAGCCAGGAAGAGGAGTGGCGAATTTATCTGCCTCCTTATAGTTTAAGGCTTGACCCCCTCCCCACCACCTCCCACCTAACAACCTCCTCATACGGACATGGGTCTAGCCGGACCACTCCCTGGCACTGTAACTTCCCTCTGAACCTCAGGGATCTAACCCCCACTCCCCTGCCCCCGCTGCACCTCCTTAGGCCCAGCCCACGGGCTTGGTCCTGCAACCTCGTTGAGAGGATCCTCTCACTCTGAATTCGGGTTTCTAAGGGTTCCCTGGTTTCCACGTGCTGGAAGGAACACGTGCTGCAGCATAATAAAATTCAGCCAAATTTTTAAACAAAAGGCATGTAGTCTGTCGGTGTTTCCCAAGTTGCAGGGTTGACTTTGGAACGGAAGGCAAGTTGGAGCCTGGGCGAGCCAAACTCGAGTCTGGGCAGCCACCGCGCCCTCTGGCGACCGCTGGGCGGCGGCCACTCCCCATGGACCTACCCCCACTTTCCCAGAGCGGCCCAGTCTCCCTCCAAATCTCCCAATTTCCCGACTGCAGACCAGGGACCCATGGGAGACAGGTTGCACTTGAGTGGGCAACGGTTCTGGTACGGAAGCGAGCTTCCAAATCCATGGCTTCCGAGCGCCTCTCCTGTCGCCCCGCTCCACACGGGTTCTCCACAGCCTGGCGGCGGCCTGGACCCCACAGTAACAAAGGCTGTCCCGGGAAGGCAAAAGCGTGGGGAGGAGCGGCAGGATGGAAAGGGCGGGCCCCGCTCGGAGCAGCTGCTGCTTCCTTCCCAAGTCCCTCGAGGGGCCTGAGTCACGGGCCGCCGCCCAGGGTCGGCGAGATGGGGGCGGAGGTCTGGACACCTGGGTTCTCCAGGGCAACCGGCAAGGAGCTTGGTGAGGGGGCCCCGAGAAGGGAGAGCGGAGAGCCAGGGGTCGCGGCCGGAAAGGGTGTACGGGAGCCCAGTCCCACGCGCGGACGCAGGGAGCGAGGCCCCGCCCCCTCCCCGGGCCCCGCCCCGCGGCCCCTTCCCTCTACTCATTGTCCTCAGACAAAGCGGTCGCGGCCCCCGCCCGGCCCCCCAGGTCTAGGTCTCGGTCTCCCTCTCAGCTCCTCCAGGGCTCCCTCTTCTCCCCCTCCTCTCTCTCCCCCCTCCCCTCTCCTCCCTCCGGTCTCCGGATCTCCCTTGATCCCTCTCTCCTCCTCTTCCTCTCCTCTCGGGACCCCAGGCTCCCGCGCACCCCTCCCCTCGGAACCCCTCAGCGTGTAAGTTGCCCGAGGGGCTACCGGACTTGGGGAAGGCGGTGTCTCCTCTCTCGCGTCCCCGCTCCCGTCCTTGCCCCAGACCTTGGGCTGTCTCCCCTTTGTGCCGAGATTGCCTGTCCCTGCGGTCACAGGCGGGGTGGGCATGGCTGGCTATGTCAGGGTTCCATGAGAGTGGAGACCCGCGCACAGGACTCTCAGACTCCGGAGAGAAGAGACGTGGAGCCGGTCCTCCGTACGCCAGGGTCCCGGGCACAGCCAGTGTGGGAGGCAGGAGGTGGAGACGGGAAGGGGTCGGGGTGGACGCCAGGGTTCTGGGAACGTGCTGGCAGCCCAGACACCCGGGTTCCGAAAGTCCCCGGGGAAGGGTATTTCCCCCAATCCGCTTTGGGGCGGAGTGCGGAGCGGAGGGGTGGGGGCTGGGGGGCGGGAGAGGCGTGGTCCGAGCGGAGCTGGAAGGGGACCGGACCTCTGGGGCCCCCGCCGAGGAGCGTCAGGCTGCTACTGCCGAGCTCCCTTCCCTCGGCCCGCTGCTTCTCCCGCTCCCCCTTTCCTCTCCGGTCTCCGTCCGCTCCTCCCCTCCCGACACCCACTCAGGCCCCACTGCCCGCTCTCCGGCGGGATTCCCTGCCGTCTCTTCCCATTCTCACCGCCCCTGGGGGAGGCCGGGGCCACTTACCCTGAAAGCTGCCTCCCTCACCCTCAGCCTCTCTTCTGTCTTCTCCCTCTTGCCAACTTCTCTTTTCGCCCTTTCTTCTCACATCCCTGGGACTGCCTCTGATACACACTAGCCCTGCACTGCCAGATCCGACTCCCGCCTCTTCTCCCCGTATCTCCACTTTTCCTCTCACCTCATTCGCCCCCACAACTTGGCCTATAGCTTTTTCTTCAGTTTCTCAGTTTCCCCGTCCTCTGCCTTTCCTCCTCTTCCTCCTTCCGTCTGCACCCTCAGCCCCTCTGCCCTCTCTGTGCCCACCTCTCCCCCTCCACTTCCTCTCCCGCCACCCCTAGTTTCATCCCCTGGGCCTCTCTGGAGCCTCTCCTTCCTGTTCTCTGCCCCCAGCACTCCTCACCTCACCTCAAGGCAAGCATGGCCACCATCCCTGATTGGAAGCTACAGCTGCTAGCCCGGCGCAGGCAGGAGGAGGCGATTGTTCGTGGCCGGGAGAAGGCTGAGAGGGAGCGGCTGTCCCAGATGCCAGCCTGGAAGCGGGGGCTCCTGGAGCGCCGCCGGGCCAAACTTGGTCTGTCTCCTGGGGAGTCTAGCCCTGTGCCTGGGACTGCAGAGGCTGTACCTCCAGACCCAGACGAGCCTGCGGTCCTCCTGGAGGCCATTGGGCCAGTGCACCAGAACCGATTCATTCGGCAGGAACGCCAGCAGCGTCAGAGTGGAGAGCTATCTGCAGAGAGAAGGTCTGGGCCTTCCGAGACCCGGGAGCCGAAACCTAGCGCTGCGGTGATGCGGGATCAGAGCCCCAAAGGAACAGCGTCAAGAGAAGAGCACCTTAGTCCCAGGGAGGCCAGAGAGAGGCGGCTGGGAGTAGGGGGAGCCCGAGAGTTCAACCCCAGGGCTTCAGAGGCTCTGGACTGGAGGCAGAGTTCAGGAGAGGCAGGAGACAGGAACTCCAAGCTGTCAGAGGCACAGAAATGGAAGCTGAGACCCAGAGAAACTCCAGAGCAGAGTTTGAGACTGGCGGAGCCTAGAGAACAAAGCCCCAGGAGAAAAGAGGTGGTGGAAAGTAGACTGAGCCCAACAGAGATTGAAAAAGAGAAGCTGGACCTGACAGAGGCCCATAAATGGGGGTCTGACTCCAGAGAGTCTCAGGAACAGAGTTTAGTACAACTGGAAGCATCAGAGTGGAGGCTGCGTTCAGGAGAAGAAAGAAAAGACTGCTTTGAGGAATGTGGGAAAAAAGAAGAGAGGCCAGTTCCAAGGATGGCCACACAACTGACTTCAGGGTTGTTAGAGACCCTGACGAAGGAGGCTCCAGATAGCAGCTGTGGAGGAGTGGACACAGCATATCAGAGGCCCAACCCTGTGGAGGATGACGAGAGGAGCTTGAGGCTGACAGAAGGGTGGAAATGGACCCTGAACTCTGGAAAGGTTCGAGAATGGACACTTAGGGTGATAGAGACTCAAACTCAGAAACCAGACCCTCCAGAGTCGGCTGAGAAGCGTCTTGAGCCTCTTGGTACAGAGGCTGGAGAAGGGGAGGTTGAGAAGGGGGCGGGGGATCAGGGCAGGCCTCTGAGCAACCTACAGAACCGCTGCTCTGTGCCCTCCCCCCTTCCACCAGAGGACGCTGGGACTGAAGGCTCTAGACAGCAGGAAGAGGAAGCCGGGGAACAACGGCCCCCAACAGCAGCCCCTCTGTCTCCACGACCCCCAGCCCCACCTGCCCCCCAGCCCCCTGGGGATCCCCTCATGAGTCGTCTGTTCTATGGGGTGAAAGCAGGGCCAGGGGTGGGGGCCCCACGCCGCAGTGGACACACCTTCACAGTCAATCCCCGGCGGTCCATGCCCCCTGCAGCCCCTGCCACCCCGGCCACCCCAGTCACAGCTGATGCTGCAGTTCCTGGGGCTGGGAAGAAGCGGTACCCGACTGCCGAGGAGATCTTGGTGCTGGGGGGCTACCTCCGCCTCAGCCGCAGCTGCCTTGTCAAGGGGTCCCCTGAGAGGCACCACAAACAGGTAGGGAGCAGCCAAGCCAGTCTTCTGAAAAGCTCACTTGTCAGTTCTGACTCCTGTCTTTGTCTTTTTATACCCCTGTATTCTTGTATTCCTCTGTTTTTTCTTGGTTAATTCCTGCCACCACCCTTCCTCCTCTGCACACACATTCTTCCTTCTTGCAGCCCTCCATTAATTTCCAAGCCCCAAAGATCCTGCCCGGCAATCAAGGGCTGTCCCAGGGTGTCTCTCTCTCAGGGTGTGCTCAGACCGCTCACTCTCCCTTCCCTCAGGCAGTGAGGTGCCCCCCGACCCCCATCTCTCTCCTTCCTTTCCTGAATCTGTGACCCAACTCAGCCCATCTGGTGGGAGTCCTTGGATCTCAGGTTACCAGGGTGAAAGCACTTTCAGTCTTCCAGGGGTGAGAATGGTGAGGCAGAAAGCCTGGGGAGGTGAGAGGGTGGCTCTGGGGTTCTAGAGAGAAATGGCAGGGAGGAGTGAGTGGAGGAAGGACTCACAGTCTCAAGGAGGAGGTGGGCAGAGCTGAGTGGGGACATCCTAGGGTAGAGGGGGAGGGGGAAATGGTACAAGGCTGGCCAAAGCAGAGAGAAGGCTTTTGAACCCTGATTCTGCCCCATACACACACAGGCCATTTGAAGTAGGTGACCTCCGGGTTGCACACCCCCAGCTGGGCCACTGCTTCAGACAGTGCTCCCTTCTCTCTTGGGACAAGAAAAGCCTTCTCCTCTCCCTGTCCTTCCTCCCTGGGCTTCCCCTCCCCCTAGAACTGGCTCAGCATTTGGTTCTCCCCTCTCTTCCTGCTATCCTGGTCTCTCCCTCCCTTTGGGGTAGAAAAAGAGAGAAGTGAATTTGGAGGAATTTAGCTGAGAGCAGGGAATACAATGGGAGTTGGGGATAGGGGTGGGGGCAGAGGCAGGAAACGGTTAGAGGTTAAACTGGAAAGGGTATTCAGTGATATGGGAGCAGCCAGGCTGATTTCTTCCCCTGGCCCTGGCCCAACCCCTTCCCTACACACCTATTAGTTTACAGCTTAAAAATCTATAAGGAAAGAGAGTTCCCTGGACCTAGCACATCTTCCAGGGACTGCAAAAGCCCTTCCTAGTCTCCAGTCTTCATCCCATGTGTGATGTCCTTAGATGTGTTTTTGTCTTCAATACCACTGGGAAACCACAGGAACCCAACACGTGGGTTAATCCTGGGGGCCTCTTGATCCCCAATTCATCTTCATGTGAAGCTTAAGCTCTTATCCTGGAGCCACTGAATTTGAGTTTATTCTGAGCCCTCTGTCTACTACCAGCCCCTTCCCCTTCAGGCTGGAACTGCCAAGGTGAGGTTGTCAGAAAAGTGTATGCTGAGGTTGGCTTGTACCTTTGGGGAGCAACAAGCAGGGAGAAGCATGAAGTTTGGGCCCAAAGTCTGGGGATGATATGAGTGCAGAGCAGGATCTGTGAGGGTAACTATACCTAGGTTAGGGAGCAGGGGAGCCAGAAGCAGATCGCCCAAACAGGAAGCTGGTGTGGAGGCCGGAAGGCTGGTGGGGCTGAGTGGGGAACGCTGGGCCTTGAGTATGCCAGAAGTGTGCTCAGGATGTGGTGAGAGAATAAGGAAGGCGCTCTGGGGGTGGGGGTGGGGAGAGGCAGCTCATAGTTCTCTAGACCCAGACACCGCCTGCTCTGCTCTCTCTCAGGCCACTGTGCTCTCAGCACCCTCTTCATCAGGCACTGGTAACGCCCTGTTCAGCCCTGCCCGGCCCTGTCCCAACCATAGCTCAGGGGTAGGAAGATCCCACTGCCCATCCCACCCCTGTCTTCCCTAAGTAAGTTTGGTTTGCAGGCTAATTCCATCAAACGTATCCCTGCCAAGGGAGTCCATGGTATGGGCTGTGGCTGGTGCCCTTCCCTAGAGGCCCTTCTGGCTGAGAGACCCACCCCTCCCCTCTCTGGCCCCCTTGTGACCTTATATAGCTGATGGGAGAGGAGCGAGTGAGTCACCCCTACCCTGCACTCCCCCAACTCGGATGCAGGCTGTGCATTCCTGAGAAGTCCAGTCAGAAGTTGGGGATGGGAGAGACAAACATGGACTGAGAGCAAATGAAATGAATCCATCATCAGTGGATAATAAACTATGGAGATTTTTATCCCAGAAGGGGATATGAAAAGAAAACAGAAATGGGTTCCCAGAAGTTTAGGTAAATCAGTCAGTAGCAGAACCAAAAGTGGTCCCTTTTGAGAAGCTGGGATGTTGTAAGGGGTCTGGTTGCTGCTCAGTTCTACTTGCCAGTTCACAGACAGACTGGGGGCTAGTGTATAGGCTGGGTTACCTCCCACCTTGTTCCTCAGTGTTGGTCCTCTGTTGGGATTTCATCTGAGGTCTGGACCAGCCCTTTGTTACCTCTTGTAGCAACTTAATGCGTCTAGGGATAACCCAAGGCTGTCACATAGGATGACAAGTAAATACACAATAATAATAAGTAAGTCCTCCAGTGGGTTAGAAAGGTAAGCGATCATGGGGAAAAAATTATAATAGGGATAAGTAAAACCTAGAGGACTAGGAGGTGGGGAGTGAATATGACATCTTTATGAGGGTGATTAGGAGAGAGAAAGCCATGGGGATATTTGGGGGAAGAGTGTTCCAGGCAAAGAGAACAGCCAGCACAAAGGCACTGGGGTGGCAGTGCCCCTGGCGAGCTTGGAGGAATCACGGCTAGTGTGGCCGGAGTGAAGGAGGATGCCTGAGATGTGAGTGGGGAATGGTACATTGGGAGTACGCTGTAGGCCTTGGTCAGGCTCTGGCTTTTGCCTCCAGTGAGATGGGGAGCGCCAGTACAGGGTTTGTAGCCAAGGAGAGACACATACAGTTCTGAGTGTCAGCTTCCCATGGGACCTACGTGTCACATACCATATAGCCCTTAGCAACAACTGTCCGACCACCTCCTGGCTTCTCTCTTCTCACACCCTAGTCCCTGTGGAAACTCAGGGATGAAGAGTGCCCCAGTTCTGCCTCCCAAACAGGCACCAGGGAAGGCCTGAGTAGGTCATATGGACCTTTCCAAGTAGTTCACATGGAATCCTCCTGTTTGTCTCCTTAATCACTTTGCCTCCCAGGTTAATCCCACCCTGTCCCTTCCCCTGAGCTTAGGAGAGCTAACGGGAAGGGTAGAAAGGCAGTGAGGACCTGCTCTTAGAACTATGTGTTTATGAAGGACTTTCTGCCCCCTTCAAATTCCCTCTCTGGTGTCTGCATGTCCCTTCTGCTGCACTCTCCACCCCAGCCCTGTGTTTGTGTGGACTTTCCTCTCTGTCCTGTCACCTCCCCCACCTGCAGCTCTCAGTGACTCAGGGACTCTTCTCCCCAGTGTGTGTTATGGGAGAGTCTCATTTCCTCTGGGCCTTTCTATTGGTGTCCTCTTCCCTACAAGGCCCTTGAGTCCCTTTGTTGTTAGGTCTACTCCAGCTACAGGAAAGGAGTGAGGGGAGCAGGAGGGGGCAGGTGTCCAGGGTCCTGGGTTTCCCAGCAGGCAAGGGGCTGAGAACAAGGAAACCCATGTTTCTGATCTGTGCTTTTACCTGGGACTGTCTTCCCATCCAGCAATTTTCTGCCAGCTCAAATCTCACCTCCTCTGGGAAGTCTCCTTGATTGCTCTCAGGACACCCAAAGATTCAGTTCTGATCACAAGAGTTACCTCCATGCATTATAATTTCTTTTTACGCTTTTTCCTACCATACTCTAAGTAGGAACCTTACTCAGTTCTGCTGAAGGGACCTCTGCCAAAGCTCAGGCCCAAGTGGGATGTTTTGGAAACGATATGATTAAGGAGGGGAAATCTGAAAATGGAGAGCCAGTATCAAAAGTAAAACTGGATCCCAGAGTGGCTGGGGAGGACCAAGTCACTGGGGTGCCCAACTCCAGCCCCCACTCCCCACCTAGCATCTGCTCCCCTGTGGCTTCCCCCCACCCTTCCCCCGCTGACCTCTCCCCCCAACTTTCTCTCCTACTCTCAGCTCAAGATCTCCTTCAGTGAGACAGCACTAGAGACCACGTACCAATACCCTTCTGAGAGTTCGGTGCTGGAAGAGCTGGGCCCGGAGCCTGAGGCCCCCAGTGCCCCCTGCTCCCCTGCTGCCCAACCCGACGAAGAAGACGAGGAGGAGCTGCAGCCAGAGCTCCAGAGCGGGCTGCACACCAAGGCCCTGATCGTGGGTGAGCAGGCTCTGTTGGCCCCAGGACGCCCTCTGGCATTCAGGGAGGACAGTGTGGCCCACTGCGGGTTCAAGGTGGTTGTCCTGGAAAGCGAAGTGCACATGGGGTCTCCAGATTTCAAAACTAGGAACTCTTTCTAGTGCTCTAGTGTGATTAAAAACACAAGGTTTGGGTCAGACAAGGTTTGAATTCCATCTTGTCGCTTACTTGTGGTTTGACCTTAGGGAAGTCACCTGACCTCTGGCCTCAGTTTATAATTTATGAAATGAGGTCATTCATAACTACCTCCTGGAATGTTGCGAGGATTAAGTAATTTTTGTGAAGCACATAGAAACTATGGCTGAACATCAAATTACTTAATCACTCGGGACTATCATGAGATTAAATGAGTTATAAGAATGCTTGGCACAAAATGTGAGTCAAACAAGTGATGGCTGCTGTTACTGGTGATGACAAGCAATGAAGACATGGAAGATAGCATAAGACTTCTGTATGCCAGCTGCCCTGCAGTGCGGGGAGCAGTGGGAGGAGGCAGGAGGTAAAGGTCCTCACTCATTCTCTATCATTAATGTCTCCTCTCCCACAGATGAGTCTTGCCGGAGGTGACCCTCTTCCAACACAAGAAAATACCTCCTTTCCAGAACTGGACATCCTGGAGACTGGAAGATTCAGAGCAGACAGAACCTGAAGAGCCTGGCAGGGAAGGGCAACCAACATCTTCCAACTTGCTTTCCTCACCCTGTTTCTGGGGGGCAGAGCCAACTGCTCAATTTCCACCGTCACCTAAGGGTGGGAGTGCATCAAATGTGCTAGTGCCTCCTAGGTGATCCAAGAGTGAGCGCCAAGTCCTGGGGAGGAGCTCACAGTTCATAGGGGGTGGAGATGGAGCACTCCCTCCATCTCCAAGGGCTGGGTACACTCTCCTTACAGCTTTCCTTGACTCCCTACCATCCCTGTAGTGGCATCCTATAGTGTAGCCCCCCTGGGGGCTCTCAGGATTTAAGCACTCATCTCTCTGGGAGACTTGGATCCCACTCCATTTATAGGCACTTCTCCCTCCTGTTTTTCTTAGGTCACTGTCCCTTTGTTTACAGCTTCTGTCTCCTCTTGGACCACAGCCTGGTTTACAAACCCTACTATCTCCTAGCCCCACCTTCCAAAGTTCCAGGTTTACAAGCCACACTTACCTGCTGTGTCCAGGTGGAATCCTCTCCCCTGTCCTCTGCTGTTGCCTCATTGGAAGTAGCCTGGGGCTGTGGCTTCCTCCACTTTTGCTCAGTATTACTGTGCCTCAGTTTTCCCCAAGAGGGAAGGCTGGGAAATCTTAACTTTGTACCCCCATCTAGTTATTTAGTTCTTTCTAGTGGGTCACAGTTGAATTGAATTACAAAGGTGTCCAGTGACTAACCGGCACCTCACCTCTCCTCCCCCATTCCTCCTTCCTTACCAGTTGCCTGTTGTTGTTTTTTTAACTTTCTGTAATACAATGGAGCTCTCTCCAACTCTCCCTGATGCTTCTTTTTCTTTAGAAAAAAATGTTCTTGTTGGGGGAGGCTCTAGGTTCCTCATTCCAAGCCTCTCCCAACTTCCTATTGGCCACTAAGAAGTGGCCATGGCTGTGGGAGGGAAAACGATAGGGATGAACCACACTGACATGTAGAAAGGACTCTGGAAGACCCCTGCACTGCTTTCTTGAAGGACCAGCAGGAGAAGGACTGGTAAGAGGAAGGACAGGAAGTAACCTCTATCCTGGGACTGCCATGAGGGCAGACTATGTCAGCTGGGTTTACTGAAGCATCCTTCCCCATGCCTGGCATCTAATAAACACAAAATTATTTCTAGAATGAGTGACTGAACAAATAAATGAATAAATGAAAAGAGCTAAAAAATTAGAAGAAGATACTCTGAATTTAAAGATTCCAATATTCAGAAGCATGGGGCAGTGCAAGTGACCAGTTAAGAGTGTGACTCTGGCTAATCTGGGGCATTTACTCCAAGACTCAGGAGCATAAATAATAAATCTCTTGAAACTGCTGCAAAATATGGAGTATATACAGAAAGCATAAATAATAAATCTCTTGAAACTGCTGCAAAATATGGAGTATATACAGAAGTGCAGTTTCCTGAAAAAGGGCCTCATGGACAATGGATTTTATATTCCTACAGGTTTAAGATCCTTCAATAATTCATGGCTTTGTTGCCCAAGTATAGTTGATACTGGGAGATTGTCTTGCCTGAGGGTTTCAGCCCTGGGCAAGTTCACTATGAATTCAGTGAGACCAAGAAATGACAATGGAATGTTCCTGGGGTAAAAGGGTTTATACCCGGCTTTATTCTCCTGGAGATAGGTCAAGCACTAGAATCATGTCTTTGGCAGTCTGCAAGTGCGTAATCCTCTGTCTCTGCCTCTGCCCAGAATACTGGGCAGAGCTCTTTATATAGTGACTCAGTCAATAAAAGCTTATTTCCTATTGGTGTGGAAGCAGTAGTCTAGCAGTAGGCCGGTTACACCATCAAGTAGTTTAGGGTCAGGTGAGGAACCTGGAAAATGGAAGTGGGGAACTTCATTTTCCCCACAGAGGTTTTTCCCATTTCAAGGAATTTCTAATGTGGAAGATCTATACTTTACTTACTAGGTCATTTTTTCAGTTCTCTATGCTAGTAAAGATGTGGTTGAGTAGTTAATAGTCCCACCACTACAGGATGCTTCTCACAGCCTAGTCAGAAGATACATTTTACTAAATACAAAATATATTAGACAAATTGATCCTAAACATATACCAAAGGTCTTTAATTTACTTGCAAGGGAAAAACAAGCTGTCGAAAGAATGACCAGCTTAGCGAGGGCATGGGTATAGAGGGAAGCAGAGTGTTTACATTAGTAGCTAATTAGGTAAAGATCCCAATCAGCTGTGACCCAGGAAAACCGAGGCAGGAAGCTCTGAGATGCCAGGAGTGCCCAAAGTCCATTTCAGAAAACAATGCATCCAAGAAGTCAACGATATGGAGCTAGCTACCTGTGGCTGTTAATAGGAATAACAATATTTCACTTCCCAATAACAGTGTCTGGCTAGTTCAGTGAATCATGGAAGTACGAAGCAGGGTGTCTTGCCAATGGGTTTCAGCCCTGGATAAGTTCACTATGGGTTCAGTGAGACCAAAAAATGACAATGGAATATTCTTGGGGTGAAAGGGTTTATACCCAACTTTATTCCCATGGTGGCAGGTCAATCACTAGAATCCTGTGTACTCAAGAGTGAGTCTGCATGCAGCAAGCCAGTCTCTGCCTCTGGCCTTTCTGCCTCTGCAGCTGTCTCAGCCTCCATTATCAGTACCGCCTTCTAGCTTCTTCTCTTCTGCAGCCTTGCAGCCAGAGTACAGGATGGAGCTCTTTATATAGAGTCAATAACAACGTATTGCCCACACGTGGATGGTGTGCAAACCGACCAGGGCCAGGTGAGAATCCTGGCCATAGGAACCTTCACTTTCTCCTCACAGGGTCAGACCTCAGACAGCAGATAGTCAAGAAACAAACTCTACTTATTTTTAAATAAGCAGCCACCAGTGAATTTGGCAACCTATTAGCAAAAACGCAGAACACAGTCCACACATTCCTTAGTCTGAAGATCTTTTAAAATAACCAAGAAAAGAGGGCATCTTTTATTTTTCTCCCAGGTCCTATCTCTTCCTGCCTGGAGGTTCTCGCTGATGCCTAACCTGTATTCGTTCCTGCTGCAGATACCAGTTCTAAACAAAGGTCACTCCTAATCAGTTTGTGCTAATCTTTCCTAAGCCTGGACCTGATCTTCCAATTTGAAATAGAATCCACCTCCCGGCCTACCCCCCCGCCCCCCGACCTCGATCCCTGCCCCGACACCCTGAATGCTTTTTAACCCATAGGACTTACATATTTTATTTACTATGTATCTTGTCTACCCCTCACCTCCCGCCCCCAACCCTGATGTAAAGTCTGTGAGGGATTTTGCCTGATGTGTTTTATGGCTATATCCCCAGCGACTAAAATTGGGCCGAGCACACATTAGGTGTTCAGCATTTATTGAAAGAGTGAGTGAAGCACCCACGGACTGACCATCAGAGGGCGGCAGAGAAATTCGATAGAGGCGGAAATGAAAATGTTTTACCGAAGTTTCAGGTACTGTTCCGCGAGGTTTGAACTCGCTCGACCACCGTAGTGCTGAGGCCGGAAAAGTGCGAGGGCTTCCGGCCTCTGCGGTCGGCCAAGAAGGTTTTGGGCTGTCTGAAACTGAACCCCAAGGTTCTAAGCCAGCACCCTTGCTGAGCTAAGGCTCCAGCCCAGGACTGAAGGCCTCCAGGCCTCCGCGCCGGGCCCGGCAGCCAGCCCAGCTGCTCGAGCCACTTCAAGGCCGGGAACAGGGAGCGTGGGTCGCCATGACTGCACCGGCCGGGCTAGAGCGCTGGGTGCAAGACGAGCTGCACTCGGTGCTGGGGCTGAGCGAGCGGCACGTGGCCCAGTTCCTGATCGGTACCGCGCAGCGCTGCGCCTCAGCCGAGGAGTTCGTGCAGCGCCTGAGAGACACTGATACCCTGGACCTCAGCGGGCCGGCCCGGGACTTCGCCCTGAGACTCTGGAACAAGGTGTCGCGAGGGGTGGGGCGCGCTGGGGCGGGGCCCGGCGTGGGAGGGGCGGGAGCTGAGGTTGGTGCCTGGGGAGGGGCCGTGGTTAATTTTACAGGTGCGGCTAGGCAAAGTGACCTTCGGGGAATTAAGTAAGCTAAGTTCACAGGCATTAACTCTTTCCGTTATCGCCTGTGTACTGTGCTAGATGCTGGATGTCCAGCTCAGGGGAGAAGATTGAGGAGGGCTCAAGTGTGTTGGGTTAAGTGCTTCTCGAACTTTAACATTCCTTCAGAGCAAACATACGATCCATCCAGGGCCCTTGTTAAAGTGCATATTTCGATTTGGGAGGTATGGGATGAGATCTTAGTGTCTTGCATTTCTAACAAGTTTCCGGGTGAAGATCCAGGACCACACTTGGAATAGCAAAGCTATAGAAGGAGATGTGCGGGAAGTGCTGTGGGAGGGCAGAAGAGGTGGAGGCAGTGATCAGGAAAAGCAAGCCCGAAGATTCCCTGGAATTTGTCAGGTAGAGAAGGGGGAAGTAGTAAAGGTGTGACAGTGAGCTCCTGGAGGACAGGCCTGTATATTTCTCGTCTTTGTATTCCTACCAACTAACAGAGCACCTGACAGAAAAGGTGCTCAGTAAGTATATGGAAAGTGTTCAGTATGTTCAGAGACTGGCAAGTAGCCTGGTGTGGCTGTCCTATATGGTGCCTGGGGAGAGATGAAGTTAGGATGTAAGTGATGTCAGGGTGGTACTTTATGTTAGTTTGTTTACCAGTATATCTCTTGAATGTGGTTCAGTATCAGGCATGTGACAGACCTGAGCAAATCTATCCTTGTAGCATCTTAGTCCTTTTGTATTAATGACTTAATAATTGGGAAGAACAGAGTCTGTGCAATTGAAAATTGGGTGTGACAATATAAAATAAATTCCATAAGGGCAGGGATTTTTGTCTCTTGTTTATTCCTATATTCTCAGTACCTAGCAAGTATCTGGTGCATGGGACAGGCTTCAATAAATGTTTGTTAAATGAATGTGAGAAAGTTTGGAAGCTGAGAGGCCCAATTCAGGCTGAAGAACATGGTGTGAAGGCATGGGGAGGAGAGAGGATGAAGGCTGGTTTAAGATTAAGCCATTCTGTAGACTAGGAACAGGGCAGAGTAGGTGGACAGAGATCAGGAGTTGCTCACATCCCTTTTCTTCCTCTCTACTGACAGGTACCACGGAAGACAGTGGTAGAAAAGCCAGCTCGGGCAGCTGAGCGAGAGGCCAGAGCACTCCTGGAGAAGAACCGATCCTACAAGTTGCTGGAAGACAGTGAGGAGACTGTAGGTAAGGCTGGAAGCAGTCTCCAGAAGAAGCGTAAAAAACGGAAACACCTCAGGAAGAAACGTCAGGAGGAGGAGGAAGAAGAGGAGGAAGAGGTTTCTGAGAAAAGGAAGAGAAAGAAAGAGTAAGTCAGAAGAAGGGTGAGAGAGGATGTTGCTAGGAAGAAGAGGAGGAAGAGGTTTCTGAGAAAAGGAAGAGAAAGAAAGAGTAAGTCAGAAGAAGGGTGAGAGAGGATGTTGCAGGTGGATGACAGGACAGTAAGCCTCCTGGATGCCCTTATTTCATGGCCGGCTTGGGTTGCAGGGGGAGTAAACAGCAGGCAGAGGAGCCAGAGTCAGAGGATGAGTGGGAGCGGACAGAGCGCGAGCGCCTGCAGGACTTGGAGGAACGTGATGCCTTCGCCGAGAGGGTTCGGCAGCGGGACAAGGACCGAACTCGCAATGTCCTGGAGCGGTCAGACAAGAAGGTGCATGGAAGAAGCATGTTTTGTAACCCAGGAAGATGCCTGGGTCAAATCTCAGGTTGGGTGTGATTGCAGAGATAGTGATCCCTGGGAAGACAAGGGGCTGCCTCGTGCTATGTTCATCTCTGTGGTGAGCCTCTGCTGAACCTGTAGCCACAGAGGTTCCTCACTGAGAAGGGACATTTCTTTGTGCTAGCATACATTTGAATGATCCTTGTGATTCTAGAAGGGGAGTGGGTATGGGGACTTCTGGCCTTATAGCCCTCCCTTCTTGGTGTCTTCTCCTAGGCTTATGAAGAGGCTCAGAAGCGCCTTAAGATGGCTGAGGAAGACCGGAAAGCTATGGTGAGTCCTAGGCCCAGGAAGCCAGATCATAAGACAAAAGGGAGGACTTTCTGATGGAGTGGCTAGGGATAGGAGAACAGATAACACAGGAAGTTTGGAGGGGATACTGATAGGGTGTCAAGTCTTGGGAGGAGGGGGCATGGTTGACGGGAGCCTGCTAAGGATAGGCTTAAGTTACAGAGGGAAGGAAGCTACCTACAAACCCTCCTTGCCTCCTTAGGATCAAATCACACTGTGTGTTAGTAAGGGGAATGCGAGCTTTTCCTGTCCCTGGTACTTAATGAAATGCAATCAAAGGCAACTGGAGCAACATGGCGGTGAATGGATGGCAGAGGCAGCATTGCTGTCCCTCTGCCAATGGATGTGCTGACCTTTCATCTTGGGCACACCCTCTCCAAATACCTTGCTACCACCTCATCCCTCCTTCCCCATCGTGGCCTTGTGATGTCCCTCTGGTATCCTGGGTTGGTCTTCTCACTGGACAGGGATGGAGCCCTTGTAATTAATGAACTGGACTTATTCTGGTGTGAGTCTAGGTAGGGCAGGCAGTTTTCCTGAGGCCTGGTCTTCCCAGGTACAGTGACACTTAGATTTCTCAAAGAAGTTTAAGACTGGTGTCTTAAGAATGGCCTAGTGGAACTCGGGTCTCTCCCAACCAATCCATCTCACATCCTACCCCACAGAATGGCTGTGGTCAGAGGCTTCCGAGACATCCCTCAATGCTGGTGTAATGTTTTTATTTCCCTGAGTTTTGCTTTTCTTTTTCAATTATAAAAACCTTGAAATAAATAGGATTGAAAGAACAGTATAATGAACGCTCATACGATTATTTGGTCAAAAATTGCTAATACCATGTGCAGTATTTGTGCTGTCTATGTAAATGTGGGCCTTTTTTTTTTTGAACCATTTAAAAAAGTTATAGGCATCATAGTATTTTATCTCATCAGCATGTAGCATGTACCTCCTAAGAATAAAAATGCTGCCTTCTAAAACCACAGTGCCATTTTCAGACCCAAGATGAACAGTAATTCTCATATATCAGCTGTGGACCTGTCTGTAGTAAAATGTCCCCAGTTACCTCAAAATGTCTTTGATAATGGCTCTTTCCAAACCTTAATCTAGTCCAAGTTCATGCGTTGCATTTGGTTGTTAAGTCTCCTAAGTTTGTTTCATTTTGTCTTCCTCTTTCTGTCTCATCTTGTACCATGACCTACATTCAGGATTTATCTGATCCTTATTTTGTAATGTTAAGTTCTTCTATGCCATATGCTTCCTTTCAAGTGGAAGTTGGATCTAAAGCTTGCCAAGACTCCAGGTTCTGTCGTTGTGGCAGGAACACCTCTTGGGTGGTAATGGACACTTTCATTTGTACCCCATCCAGGGATACGCTCTCCAACTGTGTACCTGTTAGTACAGGTGTCCTTTCTTCCAATAGCTTCTTATTTACTGGTTTTAGCAACCATATCTCATCCTTTCCTGAATCGGTTATTTCATTGGAGATCGCAAAATGGTGAGTTTTGGATTCTGACATGCCTTCTACATTTATTGGCTAGCCTTTTTATATAAAGAAGAGCTTTTCCTCAACAACTAGGAGTAAGCTAAATGTTTCTTAGAAGACAAGGTAAATGTTTGTTTCCTTTTAATTTTCAGAGTAGGGGGTTTGGCTTAACAGACACCTCATTGGTGGCAAGTATTTTTTTTATTAAGTTATCATTGATATACACTCTTAAGAAGGTTTCAAGATGACAAGTTTTTTTCCCATTCTTTGTGTTTGTGTGTGTGTGTGTGTCACATTGGGCTTATGAATTTTTATTTTTCAATATTTTAGAATTGCATATTATTCTTTTTTTATTTTTATTTTGTTATCATTAATCTACAATTACATGAAGAACATTATGTTTACTACCCCCTTCACCAAGTCCCCCCCACAAACCCCATTACAGTCACTGTCTATCAGCATAGTAAGATGCTGTAAAATCACTACTTGTCTTCTCTGTGTTGCACAGCCTTCCCCGTCCCCCCCCCCACATCATACATGCTAACAGTAAGGTCCCCGTTCTTTTCCCCCCCTTATCCCTACCTTCCCACCCATCCTCCCCATTCCCTTTCCCTTTGGTAACTGTTAGTCCATTCTTGGGTTCTGTGAGTCTGCTGCTGTTTTGTTCAGTTTTTCTT